GTCACCCATACATAGGTTGCTACTCAGATTATGTAAATACTGTTATTTGTTCAATGATCTAGAGCAAACTGAGCCCAACTGAAAGTTCAGTTCTCAAAAGTTAATATGTACTAGCAGACACTGACAGTAGGAAAGTGCAAAACATTAATTCTGCCGCTTTAGCACAGATCTTGTTAGTAGTAATTCTTTATTTCAGCAGCTCTGATTCCTTTTCAGTATTCCTTTTAACCCGTTTATAAAAGAATTTAATATTCCACTTAGAGTATGCAGAAGAGCTGCCCCCAAATCTGCTGCTATCATTATAAAAGATTAATTGGGATGGGACATCCATTTTTGAAAGTTCATGTATCTGAATCTTTGTGTGGGCAATGCCATCTCTGTTGATCATATCAGGTTATACTGTACTTCTTTTAAAAACTAAACTGTGAAACAATTTCCCTATATTTCAGTCTATATTTAACTGCCACTTTGGTTTTGTTCCAGTAGTGTTACCTCAATGGTGTGATTTGTATGAAGTTTCAACTAAGGTCATGTAACATTGACCACTGGTTTCAATTTTAGTAAAATACACAGACACATCACTACATTATTCACAAGGCGAGCATGGTCAGGATAAACATCTTGAAATCCAGTGTATCATGTTTACTCATTCCTTTTTATTATATTTTAATAATTAAAAAGTGCACATTTTTAAATTGCTAGGCTCTCCCACAATCAGTAATAGAAGAAGCACAATGTCCTGTTACTTTGCTTATTAAAATTAGCCATTCAACGCCACATGGCATTTGGGAGTGAAGGTTCAACAGATGCATAATTTGCTGTTTAAATTCAGTTTGTGCACCTGACTTCAAAAAGTGACTTCCATTCTGTCATAAACAAAAATCTGCCCTTATTCCCTTATGGGGGACACAAGAGCCCTTATAGAGCCCTTTGTAGGTTCTCCATCGGTCGGAGAAAATAACAGAGGCCAACCAGAGAATATTGAGAAGCAAAGCAGCTCGTAAGCCTGATCTTTATTGAACTGTTGCAACAGGGTGCTCCCCTCACACGCAGGAAAGGAGGAGGACCCAGAACAAAGGTGTGCCCGCCCTTATATAGACATTTTAAATTGCCCGCCCTGGAGTCTAAGACCACCCCCAGAAAAATCATACATACATCACAGAAGGGGTGTAGCTCAAGACCACCCCCCAGGTGCATCATACCTACATCACAGAAGGGGTGTAGCTCAAGACCACCCCCCAGATGCATCATACCTACATTGCAGAAAGGGGTGTAGCTCAAGACCACCACCCAGATACATCATACCTGCATCACAGAAAGGGCGGTCTACAACAGAAATCTGATCGCATTGTTTATCTCCTGTCTGGCAGGTTACCTGTTAATGGTTGCTTGACTGGATACCCTGGGGAGCCTGGCCAGTCTTTTGTAATGATAAATACTTAGTTCCCGAGCCAGGTCACAGACTCACCCTATTCATACACAGACATACCCTTAAGACAGAATTTGTGAATGAAAAGACAATGAGGAGGCTTTTCAATTTTCCTTCAACCTTGCAGAAAAATATTTGAGGTCAATTTGGGAGGGACAAAATGGTTTCAGGACTTTTTCTGTGGGGTTTCAGACATGTGGTTTATATATGCAGTTATGAACATTTATCTCTCATATATATATATATATATATATATATATATATATATATATATATCTAAGAACTTAAATTTTTTATTTCACTAGTCAATGAGAGACACTGGGCAAACTACTGGCTAGATGAGAGGTGGGCATGGGCAACTCGTGGCCTACAGGTCACATAGCAATCCTTGGCTACCTCACCAAGTCTCCTAGCAGCAGTCATACTAAGAGCTTTACAAAGGTGCTAGGGCTGGGGAAATTGTGGCTTTCCAGTTGTTACTCGATAGCAACTCACACCATCTCTGAGGGTTGGTCATGTTGGTTGAGGCAGATTGGACTTGGAGTTCAACAACATCTGGAGGGCTAGAGGCTCGTCCCTGCTCTAGACAATGCACTCTATAGTTGGGCAGTAGGGAATTCTTGAGCATATTAAAGATAAAGGAACTTGTACAAAATAGTGATGCTGCCATCTTGGAAAAAGGCACGGCCATTTTAGGTATGCTTCATATATGCACACTTTGGGGTAGTAAGGTGAGGTGAGCCAAGTTCACATTATTTGAGAGGCTTTTTAAAGTTTAATTGTTATTACACTCTCCTGACGTAAAGGGACAGCTACAGTTGCCCATTACCCACAGCTACACATTGCATGCAGCAGGGAACATTTGAACTTGTGTAAAATATCCCATTTTCACCCCACCCCTGGTAATCAGGATGTTTTGGATAATGGGTGTGCCAAATTTCACTTTTTCTTGTGGAAGCATGCTAACAATTTTGATCCTCTCTTGAATTAATGGCTTAGTAAGCCAAGTGCTCATGAATCATTTTCTACGGATTGTTTTGATATAGTGGCACGCTCCAATAGTTAACTGCTTTTGTTTGCATGTGAGTGATTTAAAAAAACAAAAACAAAAACCAGCAGTACCCAGAGGATAAGATTTTTCTCATGGGAAGGTCATATCTCTAAAGAATTATATCCTAGATAAGCTCAGGAACAGTAAAGGCTACTAAATGTTAGCGTTCTGTTGGCCATTGTTTCCCTTATCATTTAATCAGTTGTGTTCCTCTTATTCAAAGCTGCAGACAGTTTTACTTATGTTTGGTTTTTGCTGGCTCCTTTCTGGCCTTCATACTAAAGAATTGATTGCCCCTGCATGCATTAAAGCAGCTCCAGTGTTCTTACAGTTTGATTTCTGTTTGATGTTGAATTATTTTTATTCTTCAAGAACATGATAGTTTGTCTGAGCACTTTTGGCTCTTGCTCTTTGTGTTGCCTCTCAGAGATGTATTCGTTGCATTACACCCACTAGCCGAAGGAAAGAAAATATGATCATTTACTTATTTACTGCTCAAAGGAATTTGCCTTAAATTATAACATCTATGCTACTTCTGCAGCAGATGGTTCCAGTGTATTATTGTTGACCTTGTACATTCTACATTTACACCTTAACTACACAGTCAGACCCCATAGTTCACACTCAGCAGGGATCTGTTTGTTCAGTTTTTATTGCTGATAATTTAAACATGAGATTCCAAATCTAACCTTTTGTTTCTATAGCAACTAAACATGGGCTGATCAGTACTATCATTTTCTTTAACAGCTGGCATCTTCTGTTCACTGTAAGCTGAGTTTTAAAAGTATAAGGTTTTTAAACTAGGTGTTAACTGGCCCAGAGGTGTTGACGTAATTAGGAAGCACATATACTATTATAAGAGATCTGATAGGTAATTTTGAACCATGAATTCTCATGTTTTCATTGGAATGAATGCCATTGTCCAAAGCGGAGGCATGCCCTTGAGATGTCCTTGGATTTGCTGAACACATGCGTCTTTTCTGAAGTTAGTGTTGGAGATCTTAATGCTGTCTTTGGCTTATAATGGTTGCTGCATTTTCTTATGGATAACAACAACTACATACTTTCTTACTTCAGTCATATATATGCCTACATAAGCTTTTTAGTCTTCTTATACATGCATATATTTAGACCAGGCAAATGCCTGGACACGTGAAGAATGAATTCGTGTACAGGAACATGCATGCAAGCCCCACTCCCAGCATCTGATGTGAGTCATTCCGCCCACTCAGTCCCTGACTGTGCATGTTGTTCTACTCATGTTCAAGCAAATACAAGTAAAAATACCCTGAAGACTTTCCTTGTACACCCCTGCTCCTCACCCACAGTTTTAGTCTACATGTATTCAGGTGGATGCGCAAACACACTCTTTCATTTGCTAATATGATTCTTCTGTACTAATTCCTTAAAATATTCAACACCATAAAATGGTCTAATGTATTTACTTCAACTTCACATGTAAGTAAAGTTTCTTGAATTCTTCTGGAGGGGAAAAAACAGTAAGGAACAAATTGCTCAATCTCCAAAGGTGTTTTCATCAAAGCAATTATGATTCTATGTTTCTAAGTAGATTCAAATGGGATTCAAAATTGCCCAAGACTTTCCACCTAGTGCTGGAAGACCTGTCTTCAAACTCTACTAACAATATAAAGTTTATGTATACTGCTTCTCAAATGATGTTCTGTAAACATCTGTCCAGTATTCATAGCGAAATGGTATTATGTTGGTTGGTTTATTGGAAGGAAGGAAAAAGTAGAAGGTGCATTAGGAGGATCTGCCAAACTTAGTGGAATAACAAGAGAAGGAGGGAAGAGCTTAAATTGTCACTTGTATAATTTGGTAAAATAGGATAAGGAAAAGCTGGGAGATAGAGAGGGACATAAGGTGGTTATCACTGATGGTTGTACTCAGAAACAGACCTGCAAGCTTCATAGCTGTTTCACAGATATAGCTTATGCTGTTGTGCTCAATTCATTTTCTTCCTACGTCATCTTAGATTGCTATTGAACCAAAATCTACCTCATAGTGTGCATTGACAGATTTCACAATTATATTTTATGCCGTTTTATTTCATTGTGTTCAGGATATTTGCTTGACACCTACAAAATTAATGGGAGTTGCAATTATCTCTAATCTAAACAGCAGATTTAACTGTGTTGCTGATGTTCCGTCTTATTAGTTCCAAATAGCAAATGTGGTGCAAAAGTTGGAACTGCTTCAGTTGGTACCTTTTGCTTCCCTGCCTTCCTGGTTTACAGCCATGGGCAACTGCAGCAGGGAAAGACAGGCCGTTGCAGCAACAGGCCAGTATTGGGATTATTTGAAACTCTGTTTTGCATAATATAAAACAGAGTAATTTAAAATAGTTCATGAACTATTTGCTTGCATACAATTTAAAATGGTCTTTCAAAGAGGAAAAGTGATCATGATCTGAGTACTTTAAACTTCTAAAGTACACAGAAGACTTAATTTCATGTGGATTTAACAGCTATTCAGCAGAATATTTTACCTTTTTTCCAGAAACCAGCAAATATTCTGGTAATGGGAGAAGGTCCTGAAAGAGGAAGAGTTAAAATTGGTAAGTATTCATTACATTTCTAATGCAAATTGTTGCAACTGCTCTTATTAAGGTTGTAATGTAATGAGTGCTGAAGGGCCAAAGATTATCATGGCTATGAATCCTGGAAGACCTGCTCCCTGACTTGGAGGCCTTTTTCTACCTGGCCCTGACTGACTCCAGCTACAAAAGCTGAGGCTGCTGAAGAGGCCAAAGACCATCGTGACTGTCACTTAGTGCAGACTCACGTCATCAAGCCTGAGCTTCCACAGCCGCTATCCGCCATGAATCACAATTGGCGGGATTGGCAGCAACAGCAGCAGCAATGTTTATACTCATGATAATATTTTATTTTATTGCTAATTATACTGCATTAAATGTGTATTCTGTAGCTGACTTCCTTTGTAATGTTTTATTTAAGATAATTTTGTAGTTTCTGTTAATTATGTTGTTTTGAAAGTATACTTTATATTTGACTTTATTCTGTAATGTTTTATTCTGCCACTCCCCTCTGAGGTTCAGCAGGCACAGGCATTGTCTAGTTCCCCCCATATTAATTGTACATTGCACCGCAGCTTGCTTTCGAAGCTTTTGCTTTTGGTATAATAAAAATACTGTTTTGTTTTTCAGCTGATATGGGCTTTGCACGGTTATTCAACTCACCTCTTAAGCCACTTGCAGATCTGGATCCAGTCGTGGTGACGTTCTGGTACAGAGCCCCAGAATTGTTACTTGGTGCAAGGCACTACACAAAGGCCATTGGTAAGCAGGTGGCTAGACTTACCTTTTTAGTCTCCAGATGTATAGCTATTAGGTTTTGCAATCTAGGGCTCCAGAATGTCACTTCTAGGAAATTTCTGGTGCAAGTACGTTTCAGAAACAAGACATGGTTCCGTCAGGGAACCTGTAAATTGTGTGCACAATAGGCCGAGGGTGTTTTCTGCATGAATGTGTTTGTGCTGGCTCACCCACCCTTACTTTATAATGGGATGTATCCAGCTGCCAGTCTTTTTCTGGTCTCTTCCAAGGATCTCTGGTGCCAAAGATTCTGTGCTTCAAGCCATCTCTATCAAAAGGCCTTCCATAATTACAGGGGAAATGGCAGCATGTTCTCATTCACCCATCCTCTGAGCTAATGGCTGAAACATCTGAGTGGTGCCTCCAGTAGTTTAACAGTCTAAGAACTTTGTGTTAGTGCTGATGCAGATTTAGAAAGTGAGGTGTCTCTAATGGCCACTTAGTATTAATCTTGTATTTTCAATCACTGTTATCCCATTGAGTGAGCTGCCTGACATTCCTCCGGTACCATTATCTGCATCCATTACATCACTAGCACGTACCTTTCCATTTTTAGCTTCTGCATTTTGGCAGCCTTTAATATCCCAGATGTTCTGCCTTCAAATGTCATGTCCTTGGATTTTATGCTTTCATACTGCTATCTAGAAATGTGAAGATACAAGAGGGTGGGTCATGGCTGATGAGGCTGTACTCCACTGACATCTGGAGGGCCACAAGTTGGCCATCCCTTTTTTAAAAAAATTGACAAGATCACATCAGGGCTAAGAGAAATACCTGTACAGGATTCTAAACAAGCTAGTCGGTTTATTAAATGGCAATATTTTCACTGATCACTTTGGTATTTGAGTTTGTTACTGAGGGTCCATATGATCAGCTGAACTGTTCACTGACAGTGCTTCACCCATTCCACCCATATCCATACATATACATGCTCTGTAGTTACAATGGCACATTACTTTGTCTGTACCATTGTATTATGGAATACAATGGGCATATTGTTTCTTTTGGTCACTTTCAGACCAATGCAGTGTCTTGAGATGCATGTTCTACTGTATGCAATGGCTTTTGAAAGTTGCTTGTCTAGGTGTTCTGCATAATGCACTGTACCAGGAGTACAGGATGAAGCAAGAGTGGAAAATACACACAAACACCTTAAATAGCAGGATCCCAGCCTATCTAAATGATGGCTAAGCAGTTGGGTGGTTGGTCTTACTGTTATATAAAGCGCTATGGTTTCATTAGGAGCAGGGGAGTTCACAACCTCTAAAACTACATGTGTGTGTGTTAAGTGCTTCATGCAATAGGGGAAAGTGGATAAAGAGGAAGGAAGGTTTGTGATGATCTCAAACTAAACCCACAAACACGTACATGTGGCCACAACCAAAGCTGGGGGCACTATGGGAGATACACTGCATTTTCCTAGATGTTAAATACAGCAGTTTGGTTGTGCAGAAAATGTGAAATCCCTATAGCATGTGACACATCCAGAGAAAAATGCCCAAGGATAAGTGTGATAAAGTCAGAGAAGCTGTGGTACAACTGTGTTCCAAGATGTGTTATTGAAGGCCATGATAAGACACGATCAGACAGATAAATATACCAGGATAGTCATATGAAGGTTCATGGCAAGGAGGACAAGCAGCAGACATAATAACTATAATTGTTTATGTGCCTCTTGAGTCCATACTTGCCTCTAGCATTATGCACACTTTACAAAAAAAGTTAATGAGTTAATCGTATAATGCTTTGCAGCTACAGTGCTTATTACATGCACATTCTTTCTGTGGTGTGATTCAAATCTCACGCTACAGCTTGAAATATATTTATTAAATACCATTTGAATCTAAATTGCACAACCCTCATAAGAGGACTTGCCTTATTTAGTAATAGCTTGTAGATTTATAAGCACTCCTTTTGAAGTTCAGCATGTAGGGAAAGGACAAACAATATATTTGCAGGGGATGTGTCATCTATAACTGTTCATTATGCTTGTTGGGGGGGGGCTAGATAGGTAGACCCATACATACCTATATGCCCTTCAGCGGAACTTCTAGGATGGCTTACAAAATCAAGATAATTAAAGTACAGCAAACATGTTAAAGCAGAAAATGTATTAAAATACATTTAAAAGCCTGGGAGAACGAAAGCACATTTGCTTGGCGCCAGAAGAATAACAATACTGATGCCAGACAAGCCTATCTGGGAGCGAGTTCAAGAAACAGAACCACATCACTGAAAAGGCTCTCTGGTGGCCACGTGCATTACCTGGCAGGGCACCTAGAGGACAGCCTCTTCTAGAGAACGGAAGGAGCCTCCATGTATGGGCAACTTGCTTATGAGAGCAGGCATTCCTTCAGGTGCCTGGGTTGTAAGCCATACAAAGCTTGAAAGGTAGTCACCGGCACTTTGACTTGTACTTGGGAAAAGCCTGGAAGACAGCGAACTTATTGCAATAACTGGTGAGATATGTTCCCAACAACCAATCCTGATCAACATCCTGGCAGCTGCATTTTCAACTGACTGGAATTGCCAAACAGCCTTCAAAGGCAGTCCAACGTACCACGCATTATGGTAGACAATCCTAGATGTTTCTCAAGGATGGCTAGCTAAAGGCTGAGCTTGGCACAGCAGCCTAAGCAGATGAAAGGCACTCCTTGCCACTATCTGAGCTTCCATTGACAAAGCTAGAGCCAGGAGCATGCCCAAACTCGGTGTTTTATCCTTTTAAGGGGAGTACAACATTTCTTAGACGAGACGAACCACCTACTTATGGAACCTTTGTCCTGTCAGGATTGACTTTGATTATTGGCTCTCATCCAAACCATTTTTCTCAAGTGGAGTCTATCCTTTTGAAATTTATAAAGGTGGGGCTTTCTCCAAAACATTTCCTGGTACCTAACACATCTGAACTTTTTCTTCCGACACCACCTGCACATAGAACAGTAGCATTTCTGAGAATGCTGTGTTGGGGGTCCTGGATTTCAGCATCCTACCCAGCAACTTAATTTGCTTCCAGGATTTCATGGCTACATTTCCCAACTTCACTGGGGCCAATATGCATTGTGAGTGCACGTTGACCCCAGTGAAGTTGGAAAATGTAGCCATGAAATCCTGGAAGCAAATTAAGTCAACTCATCCATCACAAACCCATCTTTCTGCATCCCTATTGACTGAATCATGCTTTCCCAGAGCCCACCTCTTCCCACTCCTGGAGCATATCCTTAGTTGGAGAGGATATCAGCTTGTTAAAGAAATAAGTGTGTTGCTCAAACTCAGGCAAGGATTTGGAATCACCCACACTTTCCCCCTCCCCTTCTCCTTCCAAGGGCGATATTTTAATCTAGATCTGTGCACAAAAGAGCTGATTCAAAAATAAGAATACTGCAAATGTGCCTTCAGCAACAACCAGTGGAAAAGTTCAAGGCTGATAGAAGCAAGGTGGAAGTAAGGGTGGTAGTGACAGATGGCATCCAGTGAAACACCACCACAACTGTGCAAAATCCTGCCCATACGCTGCACTTCAGTGCACCCAGTCGCATAACATGCAGTTTTATATCTGATTTTCTTTTCCTATTGCATTATCTGTGGATGTGTGGATATCGCAAAAAAGAGAAGAAAGAGACACAAGCAGAGTCAAATCTATATTGAACTCCAGTAGGGATGAGCCCTTCGTATATTTGAAGAGTGGTTCTAGCTTTTCCTTATTATTCATAGTGCTTTTTAAACTGAGGACTCAATTTTTCAATTTGTAGAATTGTATAACAGATGTACAGAATAAATATTGCTGTAAATGAAGCCTGAGACCAAAATGGCATGCTCTTAAAAAACTAAGTGTACAATCCAGCCAAAATTAAATGTTCCCAAGTCAAATTTGTTTTTGGTGGAACAGATCAAAGCATGTGCTTAGCTCTCCTGTTGAAAACAATAGAACTTGGCAGTGCCTAACTCTAGGTGGATTATGCCCAAAGTACATAACTGAGAGACCTTAATAATCACTGTGGTAAAAGCGATTTCATTGTGGTGTCATGAGTGTGGACAAAACCAAACACCTCCAGAAAATTGGGGGGAGGGGAAAGGATTGAGTGCTAATTTCTGAAGCTTTTTCTGGAAGTCACTGGCTAGCAGCTGCTATCCACCCCCCCAAAAAAAGCCCTTGGGTGTGGGGAACACTACATGATGATATTGTGTCTCTCCTGAGGGATTTGGGCAGGAGGGGTGGCAATGGCAGACACATTAATAAAGCTAGGAATAGTGAGGCCAAAATAATACAAGAGAATTTCTTTCCCTCTCTCCGAATACTATAGATTTGGGACAAATAAAGGAAAGTCTTCACACAACATAGTTTTATTTAAATGACTGCTAGAAAATGGTGCTGGCAGCAGCTGATTGCTCCTGGCTAAGAGTGGAATCCTATACCTGTTAACCCAGTAAAGTCCCACTGGGTTCAATAAGGATTGCTCACAGTGTGCAAGTATGAGTATGTTTTAATGAGGGTTAAACAAATTCATGGAGGATAGTTCTTTGAACAACTCCCAGTCATGATAGCTAAATGTCACCTCTGTGCTCTGATGCTGCCTACTTCTGAATGCCCATTGCTGTGGGACATACGATAGGGGTAAGAGTGTTACTCTCATGCACAGCACGAGAGTTTTCTAGACAGTGACTGTAGCTTCCAATTCTACAAGCTCTCTTGTCATCTTTGACACTCCTGCTGGCCCTTCAGGGGGACAATCGCAGCAGTATGTTTCAGCTCCTCCACACCCTTCCCCAGCACAACTCAACCAGTCTCCTTTCAACCAGAAATGCCCTGGGCTAATTTTATATAAATAGAAACTTCTTCATGTGACTGTCATGAAAGTACCTTTGGGCCAAATAATTTGTTTGATTCTTCATCATTTTATGCACCCTCCCCATCTAATCCACCCTAAACAACCTTCTTTGGGAAATTCCAAAACGAGGGTTGATAATCATTGCTGGCATTCATAATTTGGTTGAAGAAGTTTGAAATGTTGCAGAAAATTCCTGCTTGAGTTTGTTTGAATGTCTTTTTAGATAGTCAACAAAATAGCTTTTGTTTGTCATCAGACATAATAGTTTTTCTGCTTTGAATCAGTTTTGTACAATATCTGATTATGAAAGTATGTATTCATGTGGAATTTACAGGGCATTTTGTTTCATCTAGTTGCATCACAACTATGCCATTTTAGTTTATCCATATTTGCTATATATTTCATTACATCATTTTGTGATGAGCATTAGAAGTATCTTACTTCAGTGAAAAAATAAATGAGGATACCTAGATTGCACATGTGATCTTTTTTCCTAGATATATGGGCCATTGGCTGCATATTTGCTGAGCTATTGACTTCAGAACCTATCTTCCACTGTCGTCAGGAAGACATCAAAACAAGCAATCCTTTTCATCATGATCAACTTGATCGCATATTCAGTGTAATGGGATTTCCTGCAGGTAATTTAATGTTATGAAGCAGCCCCATGCAAAATCCTTTATTTGATTTCTGACCACTCCCCATAAATTAGTCTTATATTACCGGGGAGTAAAAATGCATTAATTTGTGTACAGTATATCTTCTTATCCTTCAATAAGTTTTCAAATTGCTTTTTCTTGTCAAAGATAAAGACTGGGAAGACATTAGGAAGATGCCAGAATATCCTACACTTCAAAAGGACTTTAGGAGAACAACGTAAGTGCTATGTATCATTGACTAATGGCAATTATGCTTCTAAATTATTATTATTAGGACCAACTTTTTATTGACTTCATTTGCTTAGTACAAGGGTAGTCAACAATTGTGCTCTCTATGTGTTGTTGGACTACAACTTCCTCATTCTTGACTACTAGCCACGCTGCCTAGGGCTGAGGACTCCATGTGGTTACTCTAGGCAGAGTAGTATGAGTCTGTATGATGACGAGCCTTCAGTATTCATTCTTCTGTTTTTATGTTTTTTCTGTATCCTGGTTTAAGCTTTAATTCTATCACTTGCTACTGTTTATATTTTGTATTATTTATGTTGTTTTGTGGTATTTTTAGCTTCCTTGAACCTCAGTTAAAAATGGGATATCAATTAATCAGATTGATAAATGTAGGAATTTTGTGACGTCAGTCACCCCTGCATTTGTTTAACATATCCCATACCCAATAAATACCAATACCTTTTACCTCACATCCCATAATAAAACATACTGCCATATCCATGTTTACATATTTGAATGAAAAAAAGTGATATTCATGAGACACAAACAAAATACCACCACCTGCCTTGCAGTACATCATTTGTCTCGGTAAATTAAAAAAAACTCAGAAAGTGTTATTTGGAATGTAAATTACTACATACATTTCTATGTTTTTGTTAATGTGTTACTCTTTTGAAACATGTTTTTCCGTTGGGTTTTTCAGGTATGCCAATAGTAGCCTCATAAAATATATGGAAAAACACAAAGTTAAGCCTGATAGCAAAGTATTTCTTTTGGTAAGTTACGCTGCCCATCTCATAGTGCTGTTGAAGACTGCTTATTTTGTAAAATAATAAGCACAGTTTCATATATGTCTATTCAAAAATAAATTCCTGTAGAGTTCAGTTGGTCTTCCTCCCAGGAAATCTGGCGTCCCTTTTTCTGACAGAAAATGAGGATAAAGATGCACGGATTTGAGTACTGAATACTTTAAAAAAAATCTGTTTTCTGTTCTTTTATTTTTGGTGTTCTTAATGTTATTGGCCTAACTGATTATTTTTTCAATTAGCCCTGACTAGCCCTGAGTTTTAGGACTGACTAAAAATTAACGAGCCACCAGTTCCAAATGTCATCATCCAAGAGTAAAGAAACTCAAATGTGACATTGCTGGTTGCCCTACTGAATATTAGTTCCTGGCGTGCAGAAGTAAAGCAAAGTTGCTTTCTTCCTCCTCTTGTGGGATTCCCAGAAGCATTTGGATGGCCACTGTAGGGAACGAGATGCTAGATGAGATAGACTTTTGTTCTGAACTTTTAATGACATCTTACTGTAGACACAGGAGAGACAACTAAGTTTATTTTTCTCCTGAAAAGTCTTTTTTTCTGAATTACAAATGATACAAATTGAGGGTGTATGTTATCATGTATTAACCACAATTTTTGTGTTACTATAAAGAAGCAGCATTCATTCTGTGTATGAAATCCTAAGTTTTTCTTTGATTTAGTTACCATTTAATACTTGGTATTTTGGCATATAACCCAGTGAGTGCTATTCATATAAACTTACATTCTCTAATATTGTGCTACACAGCTTCAAAAACTTCTCACTATGGATCCTACAAAAAGAATTACCTCAGAGCAAGCTTTGCAGGATCCCTACTTCCAAGAGGACCCACTGCCTACGTCAGAGTATGTCTCTCTGCTAACCCTTTCCTTCTTTAGAGCTTTCCCCTTCTTGTTCACGGTAAATTTGGCTATCTGTGTGCCCTGTGAATATATATAAATAAATAGGTCTAAATAGTTCACAAGGCAGAATTTTTGTCTGGCTATATCCCTGAAACACCTACTTACGTACCAAGTGAAAGTATGCTTTCTCCATTCAGTAAGGAATAGCTGAGTGCAAGGGATAAAAAAAGAAAAACTTACATTTGATCACTTGCCTTTCCCAGGAGACAGTCAGCTTGATGATGCAGTTCACTAAATGGACAGAGATTTCCCTATGAGTTATCAAATTTAGTAAAAGTGAAGAGAACTTGCAAACATTATTTACAGGTTTTTCCTCTGAATATAAACATCATTTTTATACAGCACAGCCAATGGTGCAGTCCTACTCTGAAGTAAGTCCCATTGAGTTCAATGAGGCATACTTCCCATAGTTTCTTGGTTTGGTTGGGAGCCATAGCAGAGCATGGTTGGGGGAAAAAGCATTCTATCAGTTCCGGTGGTGGGCTTTCTTTAAGCCTATTTGTAGCATGGAGGACCCCTGGAAAAGACCCTGATGTTGGGAAAGATTGAGGGCACAAGGAGAAGGGGACAACAGAGGACGAGATGGTTGGACAGTGTTCTCAAAGCTACCAGCATGAGTTTAACCAAACGGCGGGAGGCAGTGGAAGACAGGAGTGCCTGGCGTGCTCTGGTCCATGGGGTCACGAAGAGTCGGACACGACTAAACGACTAAACAACAAAGCATGGAGGACATTTTTAAATATAATGCATTTTTTCAAGCCTAAGTGTTGGGGCAATGCAACCTTCTTGAACAATGCAGCTGCAGTGGAAAGCTGACCCTTCACCCCTAAACTGTGGTTAATATTAACTGTAGCTTGAAACACACTAGCTTATGAACTATGGTTTGAAGTGAACTTGCTCCAAACTATGGTTAAGATTAAACACAGATTTGTCAGATTTGGACAATATGAAAAGCTGTGGTTAAGAAAAAATGGAAGTGAGTGTTCCCAAATTTCTCAAAGTCACACCACTGGAGAAGAACATGTAGGCCCAGAGGGAAACTAGGCTCATTTCCATCATGATAAAACACAGTTTATGATGACATCCCAACATGATCAATGAGTAATCGGAGGTAGCTTAAAATGAACTAAAAAAAATTCCAACTTTTTCACATCCATGCTTGGCGAGGTATGTGTGTTGTGAAATTCATTAGCCAAAGCTTGTTCATGGAACACTAAACTGTAGTTTTGTATTATTTTCAAATGAAGTCTTTAAGATTGTAGTACTTTTAAATAAATGCAAGATTGAAGGATAACACCCTCAATGTTTTCTTTCTCTGCCTCAGTGTTTTTGCTGGCTGCCAGATTCCTTACCCAAAACGAGAATTTCTCAATGAGGATGAACCTGAGGAGAAGGGGGATAAGGTATAGTTCAAAAATTACTCAACAGTAAAGAAGAAGAAAATATGGTTCTTTGGCAGAAACACTGACAGAACACAAGGGGTTGTATCAGACACACATTCCTGGTCAAGACTATCCCAGCACAGTGTCATGGGACATTTCTAAAATATGTAGCATTTTCACGCCTGATGCTTTACAGGGGCATGGGTTGATTTATCTTGAACAGCTAATTTAGTAACACATGGCTGGAGGAAGCAAGAGAGGATGCTTTTAGCTCTAATCATCTGATGATGATATCTTTCAGTTGATGAGAAATTTCCCTCCAGCCCTTTATGCCCTATATTCTGGGTAGCAAAGGGCCTTGACTTGGGTGGTTTTTTGTTTAAGTGTTTTTGATTGATTTTCCATTTACAAAAACACATACAACAAGAGGACTTTGGTGTCCACAGACCTTCATAAAATAAAGAATGCAGAGTTGACACAAATTAAAGTAGTCCATAAGATTCCATATTCTTCCATACGTTTGGGGTGGCTTCTTTGCACAATCCTCCTGCAACATATATTCAATGAAGGGCTGCTCAGTGTTGTAAAACGAGAAGGAAACTGATTTTCCCTTAGCAGCATTCCCGTAAAGGCTAGTTTTTTTAGCCAGTGCTATTGTCCATACTCTTGGCTTACCCAAATTTGATGTTTAGAGCTCCAGGAGACCCCCAGCACTTGGCTATTTCCAATCACATAGCCACAAGCAGAAAGAGTAGGAGGTTCTTGTGACACGATGAAGCATCCAGCATCCCCAACAGCTAGTTTAGGATATGCATGTTTGGTCATATATTTTCAAAACAGTTTTTCAACTCTCAGGCCTTAAGTGAAGCTAATTCTTGTTACAAGAATTCCCGCCCCCCTCGGTCTAAAATGGCCTTTAATCATTTCAGGTGTTAACAAAAGCAAACAAACCAATTTCCCTTTTACCCCTGGTTCACAGGGCTACATTTCAGTCAACTACTTTGATCTTTGGCCAAGAGCACATTCCTTTGGCCATAAACCTGATGAACAATTGCAAACTGTAGTCCTGGCTGGTTGGTCCCATTGAATAGTGACATGTCCTCTTTTGCAATAAAAGCACAAACATGGTTTCAATTGTAACTTCTCGCAGTGGTAAAACAAGAGTTTTGTATCCTTGATGGTGGAAATTCCTTTTGCTTTGTGTTGCCTTTTGTTCAGCCTTCTGATTATAAACAATGAAACCCTTTTATTACACTGAGAGACATGGGAAAAGAAATTGACACCAAAGCTTCTTTTTTTAGTGGCTGTTTAATTCTTACTTTCTCACTATTAACCCCACTTTATATGTAATGCTATGGAAATCCTACAAAAATTGAGCTCAGGTGTTACAAACAAGGGAAGAGGTTGAAGAGTAAGCTAGTTTGCCTCTAAGATGCTTTTGCTGTGCTGGAGGGTGGAGCACAGGATGGGGCAGAACAACAGGAGGAAGAGGCAGGTCAGGCAAGTGTGAGGCCATCTGCTTCCCCACCCTCTTCTGCACCTCTGTGTCCCAGAACCAGGAGGGAATTGAAAAGAAATGAGCAATGGAAGCTTCTATGTAGGCATAGCCTCTGAGGAAGGTACATAAACTGGTGGGGGGGGAGGGTTCCCCTATTACGGCAGCTGCTCCAAAGGGCTCAGACCCCAGAACAGCTGCCTAGATGCTAGATTGGTGCGCGTAGGTCTCCAGAACTGTAGAAACGACTATATTATCATTGACAATAAAGAGTTAACTACAGTATCTGCCATGTGCATTCCTTTGGCTGTGAAGCACCCTTGACAACGGTATATAAACAGTATTCATAGCCAGTACAATCTTGTGTAAATTTGTGAGGACTGAAGAAATTGCTAAAACATACTCATGCAAACTCTGGCTTTCCCTCCCATATTCAATCTCGTAGAATCAACAGCAGCAGAACCAACATCAGCAACAAACAGCACCTCAGCAGCAAGCAGCACCTCAGCAGCAGCAGAACAGCACCCAGACAAATGGAACTACAGGGGGAGGTGGAGCAGGAGGTGGCGGAACTGGGGCAGGTCTCCAGCATAGCCAGGACTCCAGCCTCAACCAGGTGCCTCCAAATAAGAAACCACGCATAGGGCCTTCAGGCACTAATTCAGGCGGGCCTGTCATACCTTCAGATTATCAGGTACGGTTTTTGTTCATTTGGAACATGCTATAGCGCCAGTTGCCCTTTGTCACACCTGAGCCATGTGGTGAACTTTTAGGCCGTAGCAGAGATGGAGAACTCTCCAGATGTTGTTGGACTCCAATTCTGACCCAAGATGCCCAGTGGTCAGGAATGATAGGAATTATCATCCAACAACACCTGAAGGACCACAGATTTCCCACCCATCTGCACCAAAGCAGTCATGCACCCAGATCAGGTCACTGTGCAGTTTGTTGGTCGTTTTCCTACATACTTTAACAGCAGCCTAACACGTGTGAATTAAGGAGGTGAATTCCACCCCCGCCCCCGTTATGCTGGGAAAGCGTTGTCTGCTAAATTTCAATATTGTTGAGCCTGGAGGGTATGAAAGAGATAGCAGCCTTACATCCAAACTGCTGCATTGAGGACAAGGATTCAATCAGCTCATCAAAGGCTGACAGTGATCAACAATTTGGGATATGTTGTAAGACACTCATATGACCTAGTTTAGTGCATATTCACATAGGGTTATGTGAATCATCTCTAGCAGACAGCTAAATCCACATGACCTTTTTGAGGCGTAATTGCAACAACAGTCATATGATAGCATCATCATACAAAACTGGTAGCGTATATTAGTTTTCATGGATAATGTTCTTTTCATTAAGTGAACATTGTAGAATCATAGAATCATAGAGTTGGAATAGACCACAAGGTCCATCGAGTCCAACCCCCTGCCAAGCAGGAAACACCATCAGAGCACTCCTGACATATGGTTGTCAAGCCTCTGCTTAAAGACCTCCAAAGAAGGAGACTCCACCACACTCCTTGGCAGCAAATTCCACTGTCGAACAGCTCTTACTGTCAGGAAGTTCTTCCTAATGTTTAGGTGGAATCTTCTTTCTTGTAGTTTGGATCCATTGCTCCGTGTCCGCTTCTCTGGAGCAGCAGAAAACAACCTTTCTCCCTCCTCTATGTGACATCCTTTTATATATTTGAACATGGCTATCATATCACCCCTTAACCTCCTCTTCTCCAGGCTAAACATGCCCAGCTCCCTTAGCCATTCCTCATAAGGCATCGTTTCCAGGCCTTTGACCATTTTGGTTGCCCTCCTCTGGACACGTTCCAGTTTGTCAGTGTCCTTCTTGAACTGTGGTGCCCAGAACTGGACACAGTACTCCAGGTGAGGTCTGACCAGAGCAGAATACAGTGGCACTATTACTTCCCTTGATCTAGATGCTATACTCCTATTGATGCAGCCCAGAATTGCATTGGCTTTTTTAGCTGCCGCGTCACACTGTTGGCTCATGTCAAGTTTGTGGTCAACCAAGACTCTTAGATCCTTTTCACATGTACTGCTCTCAAGCCAGGTGTCACCCATCTTGTATTTGTGCCTCTCATTTTTTTTGCCCAAGTGCAATACTTTACATTTCTCCCTGTTAAAGTTCATCTTGTTTTGGCCCAGTTCTCTAATCTGTCAAGGTCGTTTTGAAGTGTGATCCTGTCCTCTGGGGTGTTAGCCACCCCTCCCAGTTTGGTGTCATCTGCAAATTTGATCAGGATGCCCTTGAGTTCATAATCCAAGTCGTTGATAAAGATGTTGAATAAGACCAGGCCCAAGACAGAACCCTGTGGCACCCCACTAGTCACTCTTCTCCAGGATGAAGCGGAACCATTGATGAGCACCCTTTGGGTTCGGTCAGTCAGCCAGTTACAAATCCACTGAGTGGTAGCATAGTCAAGACCACATTTTACCAGCTTCTTTACAAGAATATCATGGGGCACCTTGTCGAATGCCTTGCTGAAATCAAGGTAGGCTACATCCACTGCGTTCCCTTCATCTACCAGGCTTGTAATTCTGTCAAAAAACGAGATCAGGTTAGTCTGACATGACTTATTTTTCAGAAATCCATGCTGACTATTGGTGATCACAGCATTCCTTTCTAGGTGCTCACAGACTGTTTGCTTAATGATCTGCTCCAGAATCTTCCCTGGTATTGATGTCAGACTGACTGGGCGATAATTATTTGGGTCCTCTCTTTTCCCCTTTTTGAAAATAGGGACAACATTTGCCCTCCTCCAGTCTGCCGGGACTTCGCCTGTTCTCCAGGAATTCTCAAAGATGACTGCTAGTGGTTCTGAGATCACATCTGCCAGTTCTTTTTATACTCTTGGATGCAGTTCATCTGGCCCTGGAGACTTGAATACATCTAAACTAGCCAAGTATTCTTGTACTATCTCCTTAGTTATTCTGGGCTGTGTTTCCTCTGCTGAATCATTTGCTCCAAATTCTTCAGGTCGGGCATTGTTTTCTTTATCGGAGAAGACTGAGGCAAAGAAGGCATTGAGGAATTCAGCCCTTTCTGTGTCCCCTGTTTGCATTTCACCATCTTCTCCTCTGAGTGACCCCACTGTTTCTTTGTTCTTCCTTTTGCTACGGACATACCCATAAAAGCCTTTTTTGTTGCTTTTAACCTCTCTAGCAAGCCTGAGTTCATTCTGTGCTTTAGCTTTTCTGACTTTGTGTCTACATGTGCTGGCTATTTGTTTGAATTCCTCTTTGGTGGTTCCCCCCCCCCTTTCCATTTTTTGTACACATCCTTTTTAAATCTTAACTCAGTTAAAAGTTCTTTAGATAGCCACCCTGGCTTCTTTAGGCACCTTCCATGTTTCCGTCTCATTGGTATTGCCTGAAGTTGTGCTTTTACTATCTCCCTCTTAACAAACTCCCAGCCATCATGAACTCCCTTTCCTTTTAGTATTACTGTCCATGGGATCTCACCCAGCACTTCCCTAAGTTTTATGAAGTCGGCTTTCTTAAAGTCAAGAAATTGAGTCCTAGTATGCTTGGCTGCTGCTTTCCGCTGTATAGTAAACTTCAGAAGAGCATGATCCTTCCACTTCTACCCCACTAACCAGGTCATCAACATTGGTTAGGACCAGATCTAAAATGGCTGTTCCTCTTGTTGCTTCTCCCACTTTCTGGACAATGAAGTTGTCTGCAAGGCCAGTGAGGAATCTGTTTGACCTTATGCTCTTGGCTGAGTTTGACATCTAACAAATATCCGGGTAATTGAAGTCCCCCATTACTACTATCTCCCTTCCTTTTGCATGCTTGGCCATCTGTTCCAGGAAGGCATCATCTATGTCCTCCGTTTGGCTTGGGGATCTATAGTAAACTCCCACAATGAGGTCTCTGTTATTCTTCTCTCCCTTAATTTTGACCCAAATGCTCTCACTTTGGCTTTGAGGTTCTAAATCTTGGATCTCTTCACAGGTATACACATCCCTGACATATAACGCCACTCCTCCTCCTTTCTTGTCTGGTCTGTTTCTCTGAAATAGATTGTATCCCTCCATTATTACATTCCAATCATGGGACTTATCCCACCAGGTTTCAGTGGTGCCTATTATGTCATATTTAGTTTGCTGTACCAAGAGCTCAAGCTCATCTTGTTTATTTCCCATGCTTTGCGCATTAGTGTACAGACATTGAAGTCCATTAATCATTCCCCTGTGTCTCTTATTTAAGGATTTTTTCCTCCCACCACTAGGTCTGCGTGCTGTTTGCTCCATTTGGTCTATGACATTTGGATGATCATCTTCATCAATTGATAGACTCCTGCCTTCAGGAGCACTGTCTCCCTCCCCCACATTAGTCAGTTTAAAGCCCTCCTGATGAGGTTTCTGAGATTTTTGGCAAAAACATTCCTCCCAACCATTGTGAGGTGCAGCCCATCGCTTGCCAGAAGTCCATCTTCAAGAACTGCAGTCCGTGATCTAAGAATCCGAACCCGTTCCTGTTTACACCATTTGCGAAGCCAGTTGTTCACTTCCACTATTTTTCCCTCTCTCCCTGGGCCGCGTCGTTCAACTGGGAGGACAGATGAGATGACAATTTGTGCATTTAATTGCTTCAATTTCCTGCCCAGAGCCTCGTAGTCTCTTTTGATCTTCTGGAGGCTATTGCTTGCAGTGTCATTGGTTCCCACATGAACCAAGAGGAAGGGGTATTTGTCAGTGGGTTTTATGATTCCTTGCACTCGTTCAGTTACATCTTGGATCTTAGCCCCGGGGAGACAGCACACCTACTGAGACATCTTGGCAGGCCCACAGATCACTGCTTCTGTTCCCCTCAGTAGGGAATCCCCTATCACCACTACACGCCTCCTCTTAGGTTTGGTCGGGGTTCTTCCGTGAGCTGTCCGTTCCAAGGTTGCCTGCACGTTCCCTGAGGACTGACTTTGCTGCTCGTCTTCATATACCTGATCGACTGTAATGAGGGAGAGATCCTCAAATGGAGTCTGTTCTTCGTCTTCCATGCTAGGGGATAGGACTTCAAAGCGATTGTGTATTTCTAAACAATCAGAGCGAACCCTGGGCCTCCTACTTCTTTGAGTCACGTTTCTCCATATATCTGGCACCTGTGTTGGTGAACTAGCCTCCTTAGCAGGGGTGTCCCCTGTCTCCTCCTTGGTGGAGATGGTGTTCTCTGTTGCTTCCAAGAAGAGCTCCAGCTCTCTAATTCTTTGGAGCGTAGCTACATGTTCCTCCAGTTGCTGGACTTTGTCTTCTAAGAGGGCAATCAACTGTACTTTTAGATGTATTCAAAAATTTACGGCTGAGCTGCCAGTGCATGCATTCCTGGAATCAGACTGCAGGAAAGACATTGAAATGTCACTCAAACACTGCTTGAAGAATTTGGATCTCTGCTTTGATACCCAGGCCAATTATTCATTCTCTATTTTGAAATCATCTATAAGTTTACATTAATCCCAGTTGGTGCCACAGAATTTGTTTTGTTCTGCTTCCTCCATTGAAGCTTTGGTAGGACATTTTACTCTCAAAAACAGAAAAATAAATGGTGAAGAGCAGTTATTTCGTTGAAAGGTTAGATTTAATATGAAGATCTGTGAATTTCCCTCCTATATTTATGTAGAATACTAATATCATTAGGCCTTCTCATTTTTATGTTAAGTTAATTGGAGGTAAGGGAAGGACCTAGTTAAGAACATTTGATCTGCCTTAATAGCTGGTTATTTCAATACAGTTTCAAAACATGCATAAGTTGTCAATGCAGTTTGAAGGGGATAGGAGAAATAATATTTCCAATTTATTGTAGCATCTCCTGTTACCCTTTTCTGCCTTGCCACGCCTGCTGAGCATGTGATTTAAGATACCCAGTTAAGCTCACCAGACATATAATGCTACCTATCCAAGCTGAATCCAGAAAGTTTATAGGACCCTTGGAAGAATATTGTCCCAAGGCTGATGTCCTGTGTTCAGCTTGTTGAGTCACCAGTTGTGCTGGTCTTGGCTGAACATTTATATGGTTTCCCAAGCATGCTAGGCTGCTCTGAACAAGTGGTTTATATACAATAGTGCTTGCCATCTTGAAGAAAGTAAATTAGAAAAAGTAGGCTTTGAAAACCATACTGAAAAAGATTCATATTGGAAACTTTTTAAAAAAATACTACTTTATATCATTTAAGTAACTAAACCAGTATAAATTTACAGAATAATTTCTCATTCTTATCCCCTTCTGCCATTTGCCATATTTTAAGACTTCCATTAATGGAAGGAAATTCCTTATTCTTGCAGCACACAACAGATCCACCACAAGATTGATATTTGAGACATAACCCTTCATTTCTGAATGTTTAGTCATACTCCTAGTATGTTTGTTTATCAATTGCAACCACAGAATTGCTTTTAGTGGTGTGGTGACATCAGTCTATCATAAAGCCAGTGTTTCTTACTTGATAAACTGCAGCCAATCTTGTCATTTCATATTGTAAACCTCTAAGTAAACTGCTTAGAAATTCTGAAGATATTGCAATAAATGAATGGAATAAATAATTAGAACATCACAAGCTGCCCTTTCGGCTGATAGACTTTGACCTTATTTTTGCTGTATGACTCTATTGATTCCTTTCCCCCAATAATTCAATTTTGTTCTTTCAGTAAAGCTTTATATTGCTATAAAAAGAAATACCTCTGGCTTCCAAGTCATGAAATCTAGGTATAACTGCATATAGTAAGCTGTCTCTTGCTAGCATTAACTGGAGCATCATAATCACATAGAACCTTTTCTTGGTTCATTGTCTAAAATAAAACTTATGTACAGTATAGCTTTTTAAAATCTACAGTAGCTCCTGTGCAGTGTTTGTGTGATAACAGTATTAATAGTGTAGATTGATACCTTCTTGTTATAATCCCTTAATTGTATACCAAGACCTCCTGTGCAAGTTCCACCATGTGATTTCTGCGGATTCCTCCATGCCGTGTTCCACAAAATTGTAGATAATCCCTGGCCATTTGGCCAGGCTTTCTGTGTTAGGGTGTGTGTGAGGAAATTGCACAGGGCAAAAACGGGGAGGCAGGAACCACCCCATTGCATGAGCAGAGTTCTCTGGATCCAACCATATGTTTTGTTCAATAACAATAATCCAGACATTCTATTAGTAAAGAAGAGAAAAAAGTGGGGGGGGGGAGCAGACAGTATAAATCCCTGTCTCGTTTCCCTGCCCAGTGTAAATCTATCTGAGAGAAAAGACAGGGATCATCAGCATTAACATTTTGAAAAATCATTTTGGAGCAATTCCTGCCCACCAAAATGTTCTAACATGTTTTGTTTCCCTCCCTCCTTTAGCACTCCAGTTCACGCCTGAGTTACCAAAGCAACATTCAGGGATCTTCTCAGTCCCAGAGTACAATGGGCTATTCTACATCATCTCAGCAGAGCTCTCAGTACCATCAGTCTCACCAGTCGCACCGATACTGAGGAGAGCACATAGACGGTGTTAGAAAGGAATGAACTAGCAGTTGGCGGACTCCAGCAATATGAAGTTCATAACCATGAGAAGAACCAAAAATGCAAAACTGTGATGCAGATTTTAAAGTTAACAATTATAAAAGGAGAACTTTTATTAACTAATTGTTTTGAGACAAGAGACCTTTTTATCCTTTTTTTTTGCCATAAAGGAGATTCTTGTGAAGTTTCCCCTCAGCTTGCTTTCGCATGCGTTCCATTGTGGTTACTCGAATGAAACCGTCTGATCCTAACCCAGCACTTAAACTTCTTTAACCTATGGAATTTTTGAAGGATTCCTGGTGCACCTTTCTTGTGTTGTAGTAATTGCCATAAATCTTATCTTTTTCAAATCCCTTTACCAGGATTTTAAAGTTTTGAAACCTTGAACTCCCAGGCTTTTCAAGCTTGTATATAGTTAGTTTTTTACTAGGCAAACCCGTTTAGCTATACAGGTATAATGCACCTTTTAAAAGCACTATGTTATTTTCACAGGATATTACTGTTTTGCTCATGGATGTCAAGAACAGCAGATTTTACTGTTCCAGAGTATTTTATTATTCCCTTTTTTATTAGTCTAGTTTTCAGATGAGGTCTTTAAAAAAAAAAAGAAGAGGAAAAGAAAAGAAAAATATACAACCCAAGTCTCTGCAGCAACTATTACATGTTATGTGTTTGGATTGAACACCAAACAGAAGATTATGAATGTTTGTTTTTATTATTCAAATGAACTCCCATAGATCATTTGCCATTATCTTCCAAGTGGGTTGACCTAAGCTTTGCTTTAAATTAAGGCATAACAGTGAAGTGGAAGGCAAACTCTTCTGTGGCTCCAGTAGGACAAGAGTATGCTATGGTGTCTTCTCTAGTAGTTTTTCGTACATGCAATGGTGTCTTCTCCCATGTTTATCAGTTTTTCGGAACTCTGCCCTAGGAGTTTAGCATCAACTAGAAAAAGGGCAAACAAGGAGACTGTGCTACTACTTTGGGGGGCTGTCAAGTGGGACAGAGCATCTTTTTAGCATATTGTTTTACCTTCTAAGTTTTGCTTGTTTCTGATGAAGCTTTCCTTTGCTAAATGTGGATGGTTCTGTAACTTGCAGCAAAAAAGGGCAAAATGTGCTGTGGCACCTTAAGAGACTAGCACATTTGTGGCATGAACTGCTGCCAACTTGCAGGACACTTGCAATCATGAACCTGGACAAGCCATTTTTATTTTTTACTATTGCTAACCTTCATTATCCATTTGAACCAGATCAAATATTGAAGTTGTTGAGCAAGGAGCCAGTGTGGTGTAGTGGTTAAGAGCGGTAGTCTCGTAATCTGGGGAACCGGGTTCGCGTCTCCGCTCCTCCACATGCAGCTGCTGGGTGACCTTGGGCCAGTCACACTTCTTTGAAGTCTCTCAGCCCCACTCACCTCACAGAGTGTTTGTTGTGGGGGAGGAAGGGAAAGGAGATTGTTAGCCGCTTTGAGACTCCTGAAGGGGAGTGAAAGGCGGGATATCAAATCCAAACTCTTCTTCTTCTTCTTCTTCTTCAATGTCTTGAAAGTGCTTAGCCTTCTCATGTGGGAAAATGCATGTTTTGCCATCTTACCACTGCTGTGATTAACCTAAACTGGTTAAGTGCTAGGTAAGCGAGGCTGTACTGAAACGACTGTTTCCCTAAGGTCAGACATATTGTGGATGTTGGTGTATTGGATAGGCAGCTAACAGAGGGGATGTCAGCTCATCACCAGAGCATAATACTGGAGAGCCATTGGGTTGGATCTAAAGATCCACCTATGGAAGGGGTAGGCAGAAACTGACTATCCCATCCTCTCCCCACTAGGTCAGAGCACCCCTGAATATTCTCCTCTGAGGATCATGGCACTTAGCTGAGTGGGGTGGTTCTGGCAAAGGGGTCCGAGATGGAAGAGGGAGCTCACAGAAGCTCAGACAGAGGCATCTACTCATATTTTAAGGGGTGCTCCAAGGGCTACTGGGTAGAAGAGGGGACAAGAAAGTCATAGGTCATAGAATTGTTGAGTTGAAAGGGACCCCAAAAATCATCTAGTTCAGTTCCCTGCAATGCAGGAATATTTCACCCAGTGTGGGGCTCAAGACCACGGTCGTGAGATTAAGAGTCTAAAGCTATCCTTCAGTCCCCTTCTGCCTGGTCGCTTTCACAGGTAGATCTGTATATCAAACTCAGTATCAAGTACCTGTGATCAGAGACCATACTTTGAGACATCTCCCTTTGTTTTGTTTTTTTAAGAGGCCCAGAATTACAGCTAGTAAAAGCTGTATATCTTCTGCAGTTCAGCATCTTGTGATTCTGAGCCCACCCCCCACTCTGGTCTCTCTTTAAAAAAAAACAGGTTTGTTGCCTTTCTGAATATGAAGATAGGCATAAAGTTTGTCAGCAATGCTTAGTGAAACGCTAGGTGGTGAGGAAGTGGAGCTGAATAGGATTTTCAAGGGTTAAATCTTGAGTGCCCATTAGTGGCTTCCCTTCCCCATCACTAGCAAAAGCCAAATACATTGTCCAACATGTCTGCTAATTTGCAGTATTTATACAGACTGCAGAATCCAGCTTTTTATTGTGTGGAATTCAGGTTACCTTTGTGCAGAATGGTTTTAGCTCCTCTGACTTTATTGCACTAAAATGGAAAAGGCATAAATTTTAGAATATACACGCAGCACCCTGTATTTGTCATAATAATTAATAAAGAGGTACAGGGAGGAGCCAGTTATTGATATATGCATTTATAAGCATTTACATGGTATAGCAGGGGGTTTGCAGACTTCAGGCTTGTTGAATCTACTTTACTTTTTACTGGAACCCCAAAATCTATCAGCCAGAGCCATATAGTTAAAATTAAAGGAAGAGTGCCTTTGAGCATTCTGAGCTTACAAATGTGTTTTCTGTACCAGGACAGGACTGAGCTCACAGTCTTTTCACACAAAAGTCTACTTCTGGTTAACATTTCACAAGCTTAATGTGTTTGGGAAATGTTATATTGTTGTTGTTATTATTAAACAACTGGTAATCACAAACTCTTGCTAATCTGCTCTCTACATCTCTACCAATAGATCCTGATCTACCTTCTGGCTACCCCTGCTGTCTAGCGGGAGCTCATGCTCACTCTGTGTTCTGATCTGAATTGATATAAAAATCACCAAATCTTTGCACTAAGATTGCAGTAAGCTAACAAGGGGATGGGCCAGTTTTCTTGAGGGAGGAACTATTTTAATCCCACGAGTAATACATTTATCCTATCCCAGGACTGTGTGTGATTCCACTTTAAACTTTAAAAGGTCAGCTCACGTTAAGCTCAGTTGTCTAGTCACTGACATTGTTCCATTTGCTGTTGATACCAACTGGCTCTCTGGAGAGAGCCAAAAATTAATTTATCATAGCATACCCATAACGGGGGGCAAAACAAAAAGTATTCCATTTGATACAAACATACATTTATGCATCATGTATCTTACACTAGTTTTGTTTTACTGAAGTAATGTTTCTTTTGCACCAGCTTTCAGTGAAAATGTTCTACCGGCTCCATGTCTTCCTGCACCCAAGCTAATGTTTGGTGAGCAGTTTAGGAGATTTAACTTTATTTTTATTGGCTTGTGAATTGCTCATTTTCCTCTTCTCCCTCTGTTGCTCTGTCCCCCAACCTCCCGTTTGCTACAGCCCAGCATCTGCGGCAAGCTCTGTCCGAGTGTGGGTTCCTCTGTGCATGCAGTGTGATGACCTGTCTTGAATGTGCTTTATCTCCATGAGCTTCCAGTCCCCTAGAAGGATGGCCATGATCGTTGTCTGTACTGACGATAGTTGCAAATTGCTTGCTTGCTATATACCCCACTTCCCCATGGTGTCTGTACACACAAATGTAGCTGTGCTAAGTAATACTTCATGGCCTTCCAAATAAGCATTGGCAGGGGAATAGATGAAAGTATAGGTTTACACTTCTGAAATGTTTACTGCACTCATTCTGTATTTGTATTTTGGCTTTTTGGGGCATACTCGGCCTATTGCAGTGAGCTGTATGTGTATAATAAATGAGTGTCTCATGTACTGCAGGGCTAAGGCGAGCCAAGGTGAGGTAGCTTTGTTTCAGGGGGAATTTCATGAAACAAAAATGTAATGTAAGACAAATCATATATTGTATGTTATGGAAACACAGAACATGGACATTTTCATAACTGTGCAGCTCTGTCAACTCATTCTTACTAGCATGTGCAGCTTTGACGTCACCTATAATAAGTTTCTCTTTCCTATCTCATCTGCTCTTAGAAATGGACGTGGAATCGACCTTGGTTGGTTTCTGTCTTGCTACTTTGGGAAACAGCTAGCTGCTCAAGCCTCATTCTTACAATGTTGCTCTTCTCAGCTTTCAGAGAAAAGGAGCAAAGAAATAGGATTAGCAAAGCAGTGATGAAATGTATTGGGAGCATAGACTGCATAATGAAGGAAGACTTTTGTGAAAGCTGCAAGTCCTGCACTCTATATCTGTGACACTGTATCTTTTTGGGTGGAGCTGGGGTGGGAAGGATGAGAGGACATCCTGAGGTTGGGGAGGTGGAAGCGTGAAGTATTTGATTATGTACGATATTTTATATAAACATAATAAGCTTAGTTCCCCTTCATAATCTTCAGTGATGGTACTTAAGCAACATTAAGCAACGATAACTGTTTTAAGATAAAAGAAACATATTGTACATAAAGTCCATGTGTAATCTATATGTTTTGCCACACAAGAACGATGTGTATTGCTTTATGGGGGGAAAGTCCTTAATGCACTGTTATCTCCTAAATATTTAGTAGTAAATTAATACTATTTAATTTTTTAAAGAAAATCTGTCTTGTGTAGACACTAAAAAGTATTACACAATGTGGACTGAAGGTGTCCCTTTTTAACAGCAGTTTAAATAATGTTTTATATCTGTCATGTAGTATGCTTTTAAAATGGTTTTTAGTTGTATTTCCTCACTGTGGAAGGGTGCCTGCCATAAGTTTTCTTTTATATATAATTTCACATATTCATCTTCTATCCTTGTGTCTTTATTATATAGTTCTGTGTCCTCTCTTATGCAACTTCAGCTCAACAGTGATGCCCCACGTATGGCAGTGTACTTTATAGTGGCTGCTGAGTGCAAAATCCAGATTTGTACTCTCACTTCTTGGGATTTCATGGGGTGCTCAAGCTAGGATAATTACGTTCAAGTCAACAATGTAGGGGAGTCCTAGAAAGTACACCTCCAGCCCCATTGAAGACATACACACACATAAGGGCCTTTCCTACTTCTGTCCGGTGGTCAGTCATTCTTCCTTGCTGTCACCAAGCATTGATCTCAACTGGCTATGTTGCTGAAGTGAAAATGTAAGAATCTGGCAGCTATCTAGCAACTGCCGAATATGCTTAACCTTGAACTAGCGTGAATGTGCTAAGTGGCGCGAATATAGGATAGGATGTCACTGTGGGAGTCTAGTTCTTGCTGCCACCCAGCTCACCTCACCTCCTGCCCTGCAGTGGGAGAGGCTCAGTACCAAGCTAGAAACATCCACCAACTCTGCTGGGCAGTTACAAGACACTGAACTGTCAGGCTTTGCCCTCATAAAGCATTTACTGTTTTCATAATGTCCCAGAAGACTGTTAAAACTATGCTTTTTGTTCATTACATCATTTTTATTTTTTGTTGTAATTAAATTGAATTGCTTCAGTGTGAATTTTTTAAACAAAAATAATATACGTTTGTAATAATAATAAAAAGTTGAAGTCAAGCAGCTGTGTGATGAGACATGTGTAAACTTTGGGCTTCAGTGGAAACAGGATGAATTCCACAGACCTGAACTGTTGTTTGATTGAAGACCCTTCTAAAATCTGCCTCGGGAATTGTGCTTAGGTGCACATTACGTCCCTTCTCAGCTGTTCCTTGGAAGACAGTACCAAAAGATCTTTTGTATGTTGAATCAGTACCTTTCCATGGAGCTATCACTCCTCATGCAGCCCCTTCACTTCAGTACTGATCTACCTATGATTGGGTCCATATGGTCCTGAGGCAGGGTAGGGGGAGAAGACATTTCATGGGCTTAGCCCCTTAGATGCTACAAGGGGACGTGCCATGAACCTATGCCTGAAATCTCTGTAGATAAGGTGGTGTTTCTGAAGCAGGGGCCTGGGAGCTAACTGCAATGTGTCACGCTTTTAAAAATCTAAATATATCATTGCTAGGTTGCCTGCTGTGAATCTGCTGTTGGCAGCTTCTGTTCCTGTACGTGTGGCCCAC